CTAAATATATTTGATTAGTTATTTGTTAAACACTCGGTGTAAAAGCGTTAACCCGCGGTTGGTCAAGTGATTATCGTCGTATCGAATATCGACGTATTGACCATGATAAATATCAACATCACTGATAGATACAAATATAAACATACATGATGTGATAATACTGATGCATGATTATTTATCCCTGACGCAAGCATTAATACAATATTATTTAAATAAAACAACCAAGTAGACCAACCAACCTGAACATGTTTACGCAAATTCGACAATGATGACAGGCTCGCAGAGCACTCTTTAACTTTCGGTGAACACAGTAAACAAGCTAGCTTCACGATTTTTCCCGCTACAGATTTGAACTGGAACATTGTTTCCAAGTGCGGCCATGGATTCGATTCAGATACTGGTTGTGCCGAAGACATCTTGATGAGCTACTAATCCCACTATGAGTGTAACCGCACACGTCAACGAATGAATGAATAAAAGCACGTGTATGCATGCTATTAACATCGCATTTGCATATACTGTAAATAGTCCAGAATGCACTGTAGCGCCGCCGAGGTAGCGCGGTGTGAATTGTGATGATGATTCAAGCACACAAAATGTAACGGCGTTGTTGACGGCAAATGTAACTAGTTATCGTTACGTTTTATTCCTAATTTTTGTAACTAGTTACAGTTACAAGTTACGTTCTGAAAAAAGTAACTAGTTACCGTTACAGTTACTCAAAAAAGTAACGATTACATGTAACTAGTTACTTGTAACGAAGTTACTCACAACACTGGTTACAAGAGAGTGTTAATAACATTGGATACATCATTATTGATGAATACTCCATGCTTGGCCAAGTTACTTTTGGTTGGATAGACAAGCGTTGCAAACAAGCAACTGGTTATAATGACAAAGTATTTGGAGGAAGATCATTGATTTTAACTGGTGATCCAGGTCAATTGCCACCAGTAGCAGATAAACCTCTTTACCATGCTAAACCATCAAACGCTATTGGTGAACAAGGTCATCAAGCATATCATATGTTTGACTCACTGTAAATCAACGTGTGCAAGGTATGACATCTGAGCAAGTACAGTTCAGAGATTTGTTATTGCGACTTCGCAAAGGCGACTCAACTGTTGATGACTGGAAATTACTTCTGACACGCCAACCATCAAATGTCACTAATTTATGTGACTTTGAAGATTCTACTAGACTCTTTTATAGTAATGAACAAGTTGGTAATTACAACCATGAGCAGCTAACAAAACTTGAGCATCCAATTGCTCATATTAATGCACGCCATTCATCTGCATTGGCCAAAAAGATATCCTCAGATGATATGTCTGGGTTAGAACCTGTTGTGTTTCTAGCAAAAGGTGCTAGGGTCATGTTAACCATGAATTTGTGGTCAAGTGTTGGCCTCTGTAATGGGGCTACTGGCACAGTTGTTGATATTATCTATCAGAACAACCATCAACCTCCTGACTTACCTATTGCGGTAATAGTAGAATTTGAAAACTATAGAGGACCTGTTTTTAATGAAAACCAACCATTGTGTATCCCAATAATTCCAATCACTGTTGCATCACAGACAGAAATAGGTTTCCATGAGAGGCAACAGTTACCTCTTAGGCTTGCTTGGGCTCTAACAATACACAAGAGCCAAGGACTCACACTTCCAAAAGCATGGATAGATATTGGCAAATCTGAAAGAACTGCTGGAGTTTCTTATGTTGCTATTAGCAGAGTAAAATCACTTGCCTCTTGTGTCATTGAACCAATGACGTATGAACGATTAACAAGTTTGAAATCGTCAGCCAACTTACAATATAGGCTTGAAGAAGAAAACAGGCTAGATCAGTTAGCACAGGCTACTAGCAGTGCATTCAGAACAACAAACTATTGAGTTTGAATAAGAGAGGGATTTCATATATGGATCCCAGTTATAGTTTGGTATGTACTTTGACTATATACCCTTTTCAGTAATTTAATTTATATAATAACTACTTTAGTCCTTGTTATCACTGTATGTATGAAAATATTATGATTTGCAAGACAAAAGAATGGTAAGTTTTTTGTTTGTTTAGCCCCTCCCCCTGCCCTACTTTTATTTTAATTAATTTATGTGCTACTATGTTTCCACATAAATATCTCATGCTACCAATTTTTTTCTATAGTTTTGCAATTCTGATGGATGTGAATGGTGCCATGTAAACTGCTGGATGAAACCAAATTGTTGTTACAGCCCAAATATAATCCCCGAGCCGACGGCGCAAAGCGCCGTGCGAGGGTACTATTTCCCCCCGGCTATTTACACCCGGAGAAACGAAAGCATTAGGGGAGTCTAAAGTTCATCAAATATCGCGGGCATGGGTCACCAACCATGGGTGGTCATCCTCACTGATCTCAAAAATATGGCGGACTGCCATGAATAGCGGACACTGATTGGTCCAATTTAAACTTTGCATTATAACGGCTGGCACAACTGCATCACTACAGCGAAATAGCAAACATTTCTTGATTTGATGATTGATAAATTTCTTGCAAATATATTTCATTTTTACTTGCATTTTTGCAAGATTTTGTAAATTTCAAAAGCTCTCTCAGAAAGAATCGGCTAAAAGAAGGGAGCCGACGTTAACGAAGGTAAGTTTGTTGTAAATATTGATTTTATACTGGCTTTAAAACCCGACGGCCTTTGCGTATATGAAACAACTAAACAAGACAACATATAATTTCAGTGTATCTTTAATTTTGATTCCCTTTTTTATGATATTGAATTTTTTAAATAAAAAAGAAAGCAAAATTATTTGCAAGCGAGAATTTGAAGTCATTTTATTGCAAACTCAAAGTTTATCGATAAAGCCATTTTAATAATAGTAGGTAGTTTAGTTTTATAAAGAACACTAGTGACTTTAAAACGTTTTGCGAAGCGTTTGTGGTTGAATTTTACCTTAAATTGAGGCTTATATTACGTAATAATAACATACCTAACATATATATGTTGGGAAATTAATAATTTTGTAATTACAAGTGATATTTTTAGGCGATTTTTCATTTGTAAGAATATTCTTAAGATACTTCATGTTCGGAAAATACAATGGTTTTGTCAGCAAGGCAAGGGTTTCTGCATGCATGTATTTTCTAGTATGGATATATTATACATCACATGAAAATGGATGGTAGCTTCTGGATTAACAGAAATGTTCATGTATTTCTATTAAAACAAGAATGCTGATTTACAAGATTGTATGGATATATATTACATATACTGTATTACATCACATGAAAATGGATGGTAACTTCTGGATTACAGAATCGTACATGTATTTGATTTCTATTAAAACAAGAATGCTGACTTACAAGATTGTATGGATATACTACATCTATAATGCAATTGGATGGAATCTGCCATGTATTAAATTACCATACTTGTTTCCAATCTATACCATATGGATGTCAGGAACATTGTATGTCACGATATCACATACCTCTATGTACAGTAACCTGTTTTACATCAATATTGGACAATAATGATGACCAACAATGGACACTACCTGCACATGCTAAATAAATACGAAACATCTACATATTGGACAAAAAAACCAATGGTGACACTTGGTTATCAAATGGAAAATACAGTAGACTGTCATTACTTTGAAAGAATATGAAAACTTAACTTACAACAAACTAGTCATATCACGTTTAAAGACCATATGTTTGTTCTTCTTAATTGTGTTCTTCTAGACGTTTTGACAAGTGAAGACGGTTTAAAACATTGGTACCAACAATCACATGTAGTAATTATTGCATGTTGTAATTTCGATTTTTTTTAAACAAAATAAATTGTTCATACATACAGTGTGATAAATGAATTTTATAGGTATAATCACTCCCCAGGGCTTTGGTTGTAAGGCAGCACTTTCCTTGCGATAGTAACTTCTAGTTTAAATATATGTGTACAGTTTAGTTCGGGTATGCACCGTGTCTCTACGCTTAATTTAATTTTGAGCATTATTATCATAACTTCTGATTCTCTATCGATTGATTCCTTCCTATCATGTGAGGCACGTTGCATGCTTATTGACTAAATTAAATTTCATTTTTATGAATTATAAATTAATGGTCTATTTATCATCGTTGTAACGTGCATGTATATATTTGTATATTTTTGTACAATTTAAATATTGACAATAATTAATATTGTAAATAATTGTAATTTTGATGCAGGACCCCACTGAAAAACACGTAAGTGATATGGGTATCCTGGATAAATATAATTATTATTATTAAATCCTACACGTTGATTGGTCAAATTTTACGTAACAGAAATTTTCAAAATGGCGGCTACCCGTTTTGTGGAAGTTTACTGACAAAGAAATCAGCGAAATTAGAATAAATTCAGTCTCAAAAAACACAAAAGCTTGTGTAAAAATACTAAAACAATTATTCGCATCAGGCTCGGTGATTATCGGGGAATATTCACCTCGACTTCATCTCAGCGAATATTCCCTGATAATCACCTCGCCTCTGCGAATAATTGTTAAATGTTGTTCAAAGCTGCCCCCAACAGAAACACAATCAGGATACATATGACATTACTGTCCTTATTACTGTACTGCCAACATATATTTGTTCATGCAGTGAAGGGAATAAATTAGGAAGGGACCCACCTTTGCCAGACACTTCTTAATACTTTTAGCCTTGTGCGAAACATCAAGGCTATGGACAACACCCTTAAACTGGGCTTCTGGAAAGTAATATAAAAACAACATGTTACAGACAGTACAGTGGCTTACTTAAATGTTGGACCTCCTGATCACATACAGTATTAGCAAGTAATATTCACAATATTTACTAACCAAGCAGCCCTTTAACAGAAGTGGAAGCATCAGTCACCAACTCCACAACCTTGACATGATCTGCATTTAGGTTTTCCAACCCACGCTTCACACCCATATTAGTTGAGGTTAGACCAACATGCCTCTTATCCAGGATTTCAATGTCAATAATATAATTACTTCAACAAAGAAATAGCAAAGATTTTTGGTGTTGAAACCCGGGGAGTCACACTGGCCATCACCACCAACAACAATTTCTTTACCAGCAAATTCACCAAGGATTTCCCTCCTCATCCAGCACCACCATTCATTGATTTCTGCGATTAAATATAATCGTTGAAACCTGAAGTATGTGCTCTTTGATATGAATACCAAACCTTAGAAATTAGCCAAACGTTCAATTTTACCAAAGTTATTGCCAAATAATAATAAAGATGCAGCCGCCTGAAGGTTGTTTACATAAAGTCCGTTATTTAGTTCATGTGATGAACAAAATCTATTCTTGTGACCAGATGTGCAAGTACTGTAAACAACAATAGCTGTGCCAACAAAGTGATGACTTATTGCAGGGACACCAACACAACCAGCGAGTTTGGAACAGTTGCAGCAACATATCTGCTGAGGCCTGGGATACAGTAATTGTTTTATTATACAATTGCTAATGCAAGAGCACATGCAGTTGCAGAGAGTTCAGACATGCATGCATACCAGTAGAAGTTACATCACCTACAGACAATTTTTCAATGTCAGAGGAAATCACCAGGAGATTGCATATGCATTGTACAATAATATCTATTACTATTAAAGATACGGCACAGTCTGGTCTGCACATGCACACAATATAAACACTTTAATTAAATTTTTATTTCATTTTATGTTCTTGCAAAGCCGGATTGTTGTATCTTGATTATTGTATCTGCGCGTAGCGCAGATATATTGCTATCGCTTGCCTACCACTTGACAAATTAAAAGGTATATAGAGAATATTTATACATGGTTGTGCGGAAATATGTAATTTATTTCGGGTAAGAGGAATTATATAGCGAATTGCAAGTTGTTCTATTATGCGATTTAATAATCTAAATTTTTGAGTAAGGCCATGGACATATTGTAATTATTTTGAGTATTTACTATGTTATCTTCGTATGAAACCAAATATATAGCATTGCGTGCTTTATTACCTTTAATTGTTTGGGAACATATGTTTACATATGTCATATATTTAACTACCGCAAAAATGATAAATTCCTCTTTGGCACTGAATTTTGCATGTTATTTAGTATTCTTGTATCACGTTATGATTAAAATGGACATATTTCTTGAATAATACTTTTAATCTGCCAAATAATAGGAAAAATATTAGTCCTCATAACAACTTGCGAGGCAACTTGCGTGTTTCGATTGCAATTTGCCAATCAACATTGCAAGATTGGTTGCAATGTTGCAATACTGCTCAGGGCTGAACAGAACATCCAGGTTTGACTGTAACTATTATGCTCAGGCCAACACAGTTCATCTGCTCTTATATTTGAATATATTGGGGGGGGGGGGGGGGGTCATTTCGTCAAGATTTCCAGCGAGGAGGGGGGGTACCAAAGCCTTGATATTTCCAGGGGGTATTGAAATACAAACTTAGCCTGTGACTGTATGCTCCTGATTTTACTTCATCTTTGATTTGGAGCAACGCAATTTCTACAAGACTACAACCACAACGGACACGATTTACTGTACAAATATAAACACCATATTTATAGATATTTGATTGACATGTTTACGCACAAGCGACGCATTTCATACCGCACAAGTTTTTAATTATAATCACGGCAATTATATTTCCGGCAATTGTTTTATGGTTGAATCTTCACGAAACAGTCAAAAATTCTAAATAGACACGCAAATTATATTTCCGTATATATCTTGAACTTGGCAAAACTATAAATACAAATTATAGTCCAAACATAGCCCTGTTGTTTTAAATGTCAAAAACTATTATTAGCTCATGACTCTATGTGAAATTTCTCATGGACCAATCAGATGTCTCGACGCGATCACACTATCGCTATTTCGGGATATTACGTTGTGCATGTTGTGTCTTAAAATAGGCCAAATTAAAAAAAAATATCAGTAAACACATTGAATATATTCAGAGGAATATAGATACAGTAGCTACGCGTTCAAATTAAGTTTGTAATGAGTTCACCGAAAAAAGTCGAGAGTCCCATTATTGGGTATATACATAAACTTTCAAATTTAAAACAAGGGAAAAAGACCCGTTGGTGCGACATGGAACTACAAATGAAGGATAAGAGAATGAGAGTTGTTTGCTTCTCCAAAGTCAAACGTGACATCTTCGAGGCGAAGCAGCAGACGCTTACTCCGGTCAAAATGAGCAACTATATCATCAGCAAAGGCTTCCAGGGTAACGAAGAGATTCTGGTTAACGACATGACAAGTGTGGTTTCGCCGGCCCCTTCAGAATATGGCTTCCAATATATTGCTGATAAACAACCGGAAATTGTGCCTCTAAACGAGGTGAAGGAGAACATCCAGGCGGGCGAGAAAGTAGCCGTAAAGGGCAGAATCAAGAAAGGAAGCAATGTAGAGCGTGTTGGCGCCAGGAATCTACGAATGCTCAAAAATACAATATTTGATGGAACAAGCACCCTTTTCTTGACGCTTTGGGAGAATGAAATCGATAGCATTTCCGACGACAGAGTGTATATCCTGAGTAATGTAAACGTAAAAGTGAACGACCTTGTTAAAACGCTTTCAACTACACAGCAAACAATATTTTCTGAAGTTGACGATGATGATATGGAGGGGCTCGATGATTCGGTAGCAATCCAGATGCTGGAAAGATCCGACGAAACCGTGGTGCTTGTGGAAGCCTTCAGGTCGGTAGATAAATATCGTTGTTGCGTCCATTGTTCAAAAAAGCTTACGCCTGGCCTAGAAACAAAAATTGTAAAATGCACTCGTTGTTTTCGTAGAATGCAACTTCAAGACTGCGAATTAAATGTTTGTTGTCGAGTTTCCGCTAAATCCAAAGCAGATTGCACTGAAATACAACTTTCCATATTTGCTGATGTTCTGTCAATCTTACTTGGTACACAGAATGTGAGTGAACTGTCAGAAGACCACATATCGGAGAAATTGTTAGATTTGCAGGACATCGAAGTCCCATTTAAGGAAGACATTACGGATTGTAAAATGTAAGCATATATACATTTGTTAGAACTTGATATTTTGATTTGTTGCATTGACATTTTATAAGTAGTTAATTTTAGCAGTTACTTCGATATAAAGTTGGTTGTAAAATCTGACATAGCGAACTTTATATTTACATTATATGTGAAAGAACCGTCAGAAAACGACATATCGGAGCAATTTCAAATGTCGCGCTTCTCATGTGCAGATCGCAAACTTAATTTGCATTAAGTTTGGTAACGCCAACGGACAAAATGCATACAATTTGCACATGATAAGCGCAGCGTTTGAACTAAGGGCCTTAACTGCATGTAAGCATTGAGAGTAGAACTTGAGTTGACATTTTAAGCGTTTTACATAGCGAACTCATAAACTGATAGCCATGAGGTATATTTATAGCACTAGAGAGTAGAGTAGATTTTATATTCATTCTGATTTTGTAATTCACGTTGTTCTGCATGTGATAATAATAAATCTATAAGGAAATATGTTGGGTTTTTTTACTCGATCTTTAAGGTATCTATACGACTATTTTTCTGTTTCAGAATACGACAGTGCTCATTAAGAAGCCCGGGATTCCAATTAATAAATGGCAGGCATGGTTCTAACCATGCCTTGCTTATAAACAGGCCTCGTCCCAACGGGTCTCGTCCCAATGGGCCTCGTCCCAAAATTTATCTAAAACTTCAGCAGTTTTGCCGTTCTGTTACAATTGAAATTCAAAACATCCTTTCACGCTTCATTACTGCTTGTTTACAAATTCAAACAATACAATTTCGTAAAGAAATTACTAATCTACCGCCAGGAGGGCCGGTTACAAGAATCATGCGAAAGAGAAAAAATTGGCAGAAAATGAAACAGCTTAATGTAGGATTTAGACATTCAATGGCTAAGTCTTCAAGTTTGTATTATTTAACTGCTCACTACGAGGAGAATTATTTTGAATTTGTAGAGAGGCAAAATCTTTTTACGTACACTGTCCCACTTTTTAGTAAACAGTCGTGCAGTATAGAAAGGACCAATTTCACAGTGGTAAACGCTTTTAAAGGTGTATTTGGTAATTATATGACTCAAATAAATTTGGTTTGTTGCAATAATCGATACTGCGTCTCTGATAAAAAGTTATTGCTGTCTGGTGATATAGAGTTAAATCCAGGCCCTTCAGCCATTTATACAACAAACACGAACGGTTCAGAAAAGTTACCTGCAAATGTTGTATTAGAAAATAGATTACATGAGCTTGGATTGAGACCACTAGATGTTGGCGGTGCGGGTGACTGCTTTTTTAGATCAATTTCTCATCAATTATATAGTGATTCAAGCCATCATCTAGATATTTGAGCTGCAGGTGTCCAATATATGAGAGAAAATCCAGAGAGATTTATTGAAAGCAATATTGAGAATTCTTGGGGGCACTACCTTACAAATATGTCTACACCGGGAACATGGAGTGATCATTTAGTGATACAAGCTGTTGCGGACATTCTGAATTTAAGAATTTATATAATAGAATCTGATGAGAACTTTGCTGCATTTAATGTGGTAGAAGCTGTAACGCCACCACAGCAACCATCTGTTGTTTATATTGGTCATGTAGGTGAATATCATTATATATCAACCTTGCAATACAATGAAATAGCACACTTAGAGCAACCAAATAAAATAACAAACCTCACTAACGTGTGTTTATGTGTTGAAAATCTTGGTGCGAACTACAAGACAGTAGTGAACGAAAATAAGAAAAGGAACTGTAAGAATATAGAAAGCAATGCTAGCAAGAAAAAGTACATCAAAAAGAATAGTTTAAATGAAACATCTTTATATAAGCAGAAAAAAGGAGCGTATAGAAAAGAATGTAGGAAAAAGATAAGATCTGCTAAAACCTCCCAGGATAAAAAGAAAAATCTTGAGTATATGAAAGAATATATGAGAAAGAAAAGGTCTGCTCAAACCTCTGAGGGTAAACAGGAAAATTGTGAATATAGGAAAAAGATAAGGTCTGCTCAAACCCCTGAGGATAAACAGAAAAATCGTGAGTACATGAAAGAATATATGAGAAAGAAAAGGTCTGCTCAAACCTCTGAGGGTAAACAGAGAAATTGTGAATATCTAAAAAAATATATGAGAAAGAAAAGGTCTGCTCAAACCTGAGGATAAACAGAAAATTCGTGAGTATATAAAAAACTATATGAGAAAGAAAAGGTCTGCTCAAATCTCTGAGGATAAACAGAAAAATCGTGCAGAGTAAATAGGTACGCAGTGCGTACATGTTGCATGCCATCTGAAACTTATGCGCTACAGCGTTTACATAAACCTTTGGTACAACTGGCGTGAAACTTAAAATATTGATCATTCAATAAGTTTAAAATATCAATATATTTATTGAAAAATAGCTATTATGTCAAAATAAGAAAACTTAAGATTCTCACGCGAATTAGCATACCCCCAGCAGAAACACGCGAATAGGCAATGTTTTTATAAGCGACCGTTAAGCGACCGTGCAAGCGACGGTAATAATAACAATAACAAGGACAAGGTGGGTCAAGGTTTTATCAAATTTATAACTAAATAATGTTATTTCCTTTAAATTTAGCTTTATTGTAACTTTTTAAAGATGCTGTCAAGTCCGTTTTGCGGTTCTGCTCATAACAAAGGGGGACCCACAGATGTAAACATTGCCCAAATTTCGCATCTTTTGAACTTTTTCTGAATTGAAACTCTGGTTTATATTCATTTACGAGCATACTAAACCAGAACAGTGTTATATATTCAGTTAGTATATCATATTTTACAAATATAGCAGTTCGAAATGTAAACAAAGCGTTTGTTTACATTACGGACTTGACAGCACCTTTAAAGGTATAAAAAACCGTGAAAACGGTGAATTACTATAATAGATTGAAAATGATTATTATTGATCATTTTGACGTTTGAGTGATTGAAATGAGTTTATTTACACTATAGTATATCGAATGTCATGTTGAATGTCATGTTGAATCTTATGCGTACTTCACAATGGTTGCTATTTCGTTGTATAATTGTATTAAATTTCAAAATATTTATAATTCAAATTTTGTTTGATATTTATATATCATGTTATTTACAAAATGTGCTGTAGTTTTGAAGCTTTGCACACAATATAATCAGTGCGAGCACAATGGCCCCGTTTTAGTTTGAGTATATAAAAATCGAGTATTTTGATAGCGTTCGCGGCTTTGAGGCTTTCACAATATATAAATATAAACGCCCGATAATTGATAAATATAAATCAGTGCGAGCACAACGGCTCCAAAATAACAACAAATAACAGAATATAAGATAAGCTAAAAACAGTAAAGCTTTACCTACCTCGATTTACTTTTCTAAAGCGCTCAATTATGTAAATTTTCGGCGAATAATCAACTCTTTGCGTTACCTCGACGAAAACCAGGCATGAAAATGCTCGTCGGAAAAACTCGGTATTTGTCGTATTTTACGAACCTGCCACGTGACTGGTATGCTCACCGCTCACCACCGCTCACCGCGACACGAAATTTAGAGCTATATGAAAGTTGCATGCCATATATGGCATGCAACAAAAACTATATGAGAAAGAAAAGGTCTGCTCAAACCTCTGAGGATAAACGGAAAAATCGTGAGTGTAGGAACGAATATAGGAAAAAGAAAAGTCTGCAGCTTCAGCTGATCAGAATAAGCATAAGGAACACTCGCTAAAAAAACTGATTTCCAAGTTTCATGATATTGTCTCAAATGGACCAATTTACATATGTACCTGTTGCGATCAACTATGGTATAAGCATAGCGTGTTCAATGCCGCACGAATCAGGCAAAGTAACCCAACTATTCAAAAGCACTTACTGGGTAAAAGAAGTGTTGATAATATTGAATGGCTATGCAGAACATGTCGAGATTACTTGGCAAAAAATAAAATTCCACGATGCGCTGCCGTAAATGGGATGCAATTTCCTTCAAAACCAGCATTTTTTTACCTGAATGAACTAGAATGTAGATTACTTGCTCCTAGATTAGCATTCCAAAAACTAATGCAAGCCCCAAGAGGAAAACAGCTAAAAATTAGCGGCAACATTGTTAATGTACCTGCAGATATAGCAAACACTGTTGGCATGTTACCAAGGTTGCCGAATGAAACTGGAACCATTAAAGTGAACCTAAAGAGAAGATTGCAATACAAAAGTTCGGCTTTGTCACTCAATGTAAGACCAAACAAAGTACTAGAAGCAGCCAAATGGCTTGTAAATAATGGTGACCTTTACAAAGAAGAAGGTATAATTCTCAATGATACTTGGCTCGAGGATAACTCTAATATTATCTATGATGAAAGAAATACTGAAAATCTTTCGCGGGAGGAATTAGTAAAAATGGACTGTGACGATGTAGATATTAGTAAGATACAGCAAACACCTAATGAGGAAGATTCCTGGAGTGAAGACGAGGCAGAAATACCTGCTGGAGTCACTAACACTATGTTAACATCTCCAGATTTTCTCACTGGAAATGAACGTCAGCATATTCTAAATGTCACACCTGGTGAGGGCAGTAGGCCTATGAGTATATTTAGGGATAAATATTCAGAGGAATTAGCATATCCTGGTATATTTGTTGGACAGAAGCGACCAGATAATAGAAATAGACTAACTGATGTCCATTATAGTGACATTTGCAAATCTGAAGTAAGAAGCTAGGTCTGACCGAAGGGCTGCAATGTGTGTAGAAAATATTTTGTTTAAGACTAAGAAATTACAAATGAAGATTTTGCTTGGGCAATCACAAGTTGCACTGAGAAAATGTCAACGAAATAGCGGCACAATCACTGCCGGTCAACTAAAACAACCAGGTGCATTAGATAACATGATTCATCAAGATCAAGGATTTAGATTTTTGAGAGCATTAAGGGGTTCACCTCCATATTTTGAAAAGGCTAAAAAGGATATATTTGCAATGATAAGGCAGTTAGGACCAGCTTCATTATTCTGTAGTTTCTCTTCTGCAGAAACACAATGGATTCATCTACTCAGAATACTTGGTAAGCTTGTTGATAACAAAGAATACACTGACGATGAACTTGAGAACCTCAATTGGGAACACAAAAGCAGGTTAATTCAGAGTGATCCAGTGACATGTGCTAGGCATTTTGATTATCAAGTACAAAAGTTTTTGCAAAACTTTCTTTTAAGGGAAGTTTCGCCTCTAGGGAAAATTGTAGATTGGTTTTACCGAGTTGAATATCAACAAAGAGGATCGCCTCATATTCATATGTTAATATGGCTAGAAAATGCTCCCGCATTTGGTGAAGATTTAGATTGTGTTGTTGTTTCATTTATTGATAAAATAATCACGTGTGAAAAGCCAACTGGGGATAAAGAATTACTTACACTTGTAAACAGACAGGTTCATCGTCATTCTCACATGTGTCGAAAGAAATCCAAAAGTGTATGTCGTTTTAATTACCCACAACCACCAATGCAGTCAACTAACATTTTATATCCATTAGATACTGATATCGATGATAATGAACTTAAACAACATAAAGATGCTTGGAAGTTAATTAAGAAGTATCTGAATGACATGAAAGAGGGGGAAGACATTACATTTGACCAGTTGCTGGTAAATCTTAAACTGACAGAACAAAATTATGTGTTGGCGATTCGATCCAGCCTTAAGGCTCCAACTATATTCTTAAAAAGAAAACCGAACGAATTAAGGATTAATAATTATAATGCTGCATGTCTCAGTGCATGGCGCGCAAATATGGATATTCAGTTTGCACTCGATGTATATGCATGTGCAATGTACATTGTATCATATATATCCAAAGCCCAAAAAGGCATGAGTGAGCTGTTGAGAACTGCTTGTGAAGAAGCAAGAAGGGGAAACTCCACTATTAAACAACAAGTGAGAGATATTGGAAATACGTTTTTGAACAATGTTGAAATAAGTGCGCAAGAAGCAGTCTACATAGTACTGCAACTTCCAATGAGAAAATCGTCTCGTCAAGTTGTATTTATAAATACTTCACCTCCTGAGGATAGAGTTCAATTGCTTAAACCAATGCAAGAAATCAATGATATGGAAGATGATTCCGATGAGGTCTATGCATCTGGTTTAATAATGCGTTACACAAAACGACCAGTCAAACTTGAAAATTTATCACTTGCTGATTGGGCTGCATGGTACGACGCTTGTGGTAAACCACACATCAAAACTTCATGTGAACTAGATATTGATAACTATCCACTTGAGACAAACATTATGGAAGATAATGACGATGTGAAGGGAGATTGTGAACAAAAGAATAAGAAAAGATCTAAAGCTAGAATAATTCGAAGTGTTTGCTTTAATAAGAACATTGATTCTGAAAAGCATTTCCGAGAACTTATAATGTTGTTCACATCATGGAGGAACGAAAAATCTGACTTATTAGGAAATTGTCCTTCTTACAAAGAGCGCTATTTACAAGTTAAAAATGCAATAGATCAACAAATGAAACAGTATGCTATTTGTAGTGAAGACCTGAATGACATCCAACAACAGCTTAATAATATGGAAGATAATAATGATAACTATGACCTTATTGCATCAGGAACGCAAAATATTGAGCGCCAAGATGAATCTGAAGGTACACAAGACCTTCATTCAGACTTGAATGCAAACTATGACCTTTCTGGTGATCTTGGAATTCCTTCAAATGCATCAAATACTGAACACCTAATATTACATGAAGAACAGGATGATGTTTATAGAGGTATGGTACAAAAACTTAACAAAAAACAAAAAGAATTTTTCTATCATGTGTTACACCTTATTAAAACTTCTGATAATCCATTCTACTGTTTTCTCAGTGGAGGAGCTGGAGTAGGCAAGTCGCATCTCACTAAATGTTTATATCAAGCAGCATTGAAGTATTATAATACAAGAGCGGGTGATGATTTCCATCAACTAAAATTATTAATGCTTGCTCCAACTGGCAAAGCAGCTTTCAACATTAAAGGTAACACAATTCATAATGCACTTGCAATACCAGCATGCCAGTCCTTAAAAAACTACAAACCACTTGACTCGAGCAGGCTAAACACTTTACGATGTCAACTTGGTGGTTTAAAGCTAATATTTTTGGATGAGATCTCAATGGTCGGTAGTACGATGTTTAATGTTCAGATAAATAACAGACTGAAAGATATCAAAGGGAGTAAACAAGACTTTGGTGGTGTAAGCGTAGTTGCAATTGGTGATCTATTTCAACTACAACCTGTAATGGATAGGTATATATTTAAGAATCTAGACAATTCAGAATATGCAATTCTTCCTCCTAATAAATGGCAAGATTACTTTAATATGTTTGAATTGGAAGAAATAATGAGACAGAGAGAGAGCAAAGTATTTGCTGAAATATTGAACAGGTTGAGAGAAGGCAAGCACACAAAAAATGATATTTTAAAACTCAAAGAAAGATTAATAAAGGAAAATAGCATACACGAGCCAATGGATGTGCCCCATTTGTTCATACAAAATCAGAAGGTAAACAAATTCAATGAAAAGGTCCATAATGCCGCAACTGGGGAAAAGTTTACCATTAAAGCTGTGGACAGTGTCATAGGAGCTAACTCGGCTCAACTTCGAGATAAAATTTTGAATACCAGATGATCCAAGGAAAACAAAACAAATTTCTTCAAACCTTCAACTGTCTGTTGGTGGAAGAACTGAAATAGCATTAAATGTACACACTGACGATGGCATGACTAATGGTGCTAGTAATGTTGTTAAAAAGATACAATTAAATCAAAGAGATAGACCGTCTGGTATAATATGGGTACAGTTTGACCATTCAGATGTTGGAGAGAAAACCAGACATGAAAATAGACATCTTTATGTCCAAGGTATTGAGTCCACATGGACTCCAATAAAGCCAGTCACAACTCAGTTTGCTGTGGGTAGAAACCAAACTGCACAAGTTGTTAGAAAACAGTTTCCACTTAGACCCGCTGCAGCAAAGACAATCCACCGTTCACAAGGTGACACTGAACAAAAAATTGTTGTAAATTTCAACACTAGAAGATCAATACCACATATACATCATGTTGGTTTGAGCAGGGTAACAGCAATTGAAGGTTTATTTATCACTGACCTATGTGAAGATAAAATAGCTGTCAATCCTCATGTAGCAGCTGAAATGGAACATTTGAGAAATGAACGTGTACTAAAACTAAGTGTCACTCCTATTTATAAGACAGACCAAGTCTCATTCAAACTGTGCTATCTAAATGCACGGTTGTTGCATAAACACATTGATGATATTCGGCATGATTTTAATTTTGCTAATACAGACATAAATATTTTTTCTGAAACTCGATGTATGCGCTCGGATAATGCCAGTATGTATGATATTGATGGTTACACCTTGTTCAGAAATGATGGTCACTCTTTGACTACCAGACCCTTTGGTGGCATGACAGTGTTTAGCAGAGTTGAATTCTTACCTGGATATCCATGTTGTTATAATATTAATGGCATTGAAATAACCATTATGAAAGCAATGATTCTTCCACATGTTACTATAATTGGTATATATCGATCACCCCGAATTCCACTACAACAATTGTGTGCAGCATTAGATGACGTTGTGAGATTCTGTACTTCTCAATTTAACATTTTCATTGGTGATTTTAATGTAAATTGGTTGAATGAAGCCAATAGAAGGCCTTTATATAATTTTTTTATCAATAATAACAACTACAGACAATTAATATCTAGTAGTGTCACTACAGACAATCAGACGTTAATAGATCACATTTATACAAATTTACCAGAATCACAAGTGAATCCCCACATCTTAGAAACATATTTTTCAGATCATAAAGCCGTATGTGCCTTAATTAATTGTTTTCTTTAAATTGTAAGGTCTTCTTAAAAGTAATGAACTGCGTGAACAGCAGATATTTAGCTCCAGTTAAAAAGACACATTATTTTCGTATCATTATTATTGCATTTGGGATATAAATGGTACTCATCCTCTTAAGTCACTGGTTAAATGTAAATATTCTTAATTTATATGCATGAAGTAGGCATATAATTTCAAATAGCACAATTCCGCACAATTGCTGTGCAAATGTGATTCCGTCAATGCAACATTCAACCTACTCAGGTTCTCAATCTTCGCTCCTACCTCCCTTGAATTGAGACCCTGATATCGGCTGGTCTCGTGATCATGACCCGTCATATTTAGGCGGATTTGCTCAATTGTTTTTGGGAAAGTATAGTAACTAAAGTAGATATTGTACTAAACATTAATATTGTTAAAATAACATTACAAAACAAAAAATCTCCGTTACTATCCTTACCCTAAAAACAATTGAGCAAATCCGCCAAAATATCACAGGTCACGTGACCAGCCGACACCAGGGTCTCAATTCAAGCGAGGTAGGAGCGAAGATTGAGAACCTGGGTACGAGGTTGTGCAACATTGGAACATCAATGCATTATGCGCAGATACATGTACGCGTCGCGTACCTATTTTTTATTATACTGTAAAAGCATGAAAATTTAAATAGTTGTTGAATAAAGTTCAATATTTTGAATACCGAAATGTAAACAAAGGCTTTGTTCACATACGGACTGTACCATACCTTTAAAGCATAGTTAATACATATTAACTATGTTTAAAGGTAGCCTGCATGGCAAGTTCTCTGGGTTTGTAAGTAAGAAACTTTATTTTCCCCAGTAGTTTACATAATGGGGGAGGGTTTGGGGAGTTAAAGTTTACCAGGCTAGCCACATGTATGCATTGCGTAGCTATTTTTATGTTACACTAAATCAAACAGGCAAATTTTTTGGGGGACACCCAGTAGAATTTTCAGAACTTTATTGTAATCATATGAAGCAAACATTCTGTCGCTTGTTTTCTAGGAACCATAATAGCATGGTTTCTCATGATATTTGGATAAACATGCACACAAAATAGCATGAGTCTGAAGGGCAAGTGCTATCTGAGGTAGTTCAAAAACTCACTTGTGCATGTTATATCCAAATTGCACTCGAAACCATGCTATTACCTATACAAATAAGTGGCTTCCTGCAAGGAAAGCCATTTGAGAGAGAAGCGGCATTTTGCAAACAACCGCCACGACCTACTTCTGATTCAACATGTAGTTACTAGAAAATGAAGCTGTATCAATGAAAATGAAGCTGTATCATTATTATCTGCCTTATATGGGAACATAAAACCCAATACAAAAAGCATTTTAAAAGCTTTAGAACTCAAGTGCAAACCTTTTGAGAATTTGCACTAATAATTCAACACACTTATTCTAAACCACAATATATGTCTGAAACGAGTTGTCAGTTTGTCAGAAGACAAAATTTATGAAAATAGATATGAGGGTCGTACAGGGGGTCTCTGGCACGGTTCACAGGCTAAAATAGTGATGGATCACGAATGTTATAATTTCATTTTCCCGAATCACGAAAATAGGCAAGTAAGAGCAAGTAACCTACTCTTTAATCCTGCCTTTTACGGATGGAAAGTGTTTTAAGAAAGCAAAGTCGACAAAATTACATCTGTATTGGAAATGTCATACTTCTATTAACATTTGTCACTTTTGTCATTCTCGATAGACAACTCGTACCGTTCGCCCACTACGTGTAGTGACGGCCCGAAGAATCGTTAAACTGTCCAGTGAATCACCCTTGTCACTGTCAACCGTGGCATGATCAGAATCTGAATCGTCTGTGTCGTACTCTTCCTCGTCTTCCTTGACTTCTTCAACTCTTACCTCAGCTTTGTCTTTTTCATCCCCTACCTGAGCATCCACGTCTGTCTCTCCTGCTTGCCCCATTTCAATGACTCTGTGTGCCATAGTGGTTGAAGCAGACGTGACAGATATAATTCGGCTCCTTTTCGACCGCATCAGTGTCAGTATCAAACGAGACTTTATCTTTCGCATAGTCTGATGACCTGTACATGTTCAATGGCAATGTCCAAGCCTTAAACATAGTGGTTTCTGGCCTCACACTTCTCTGCCGTATAGCCTTCCCATTTGTTGTGGCCCACTCAACCATGAGCTCTTTTTCTCGCCGATTCAATTGCCTCTGAGCCTTGAGATGGTCTAGTTTTGGCATTTAACGGAGTGCTTTGACGCAGCACAGGATAGTATGATTTACTGAGTGTAGTAGTAGGCACTTCAGACTACCACACGCTTAATGCTTTTGTATACAGTGTTTGCCAGATTCTGTGCGTACTGCAAAGTGGTAGGAAACTGGTCCTTGAAGTGACCTATCACATGTAGGTTTTCAACCTGAGCTGTCAGACAAGAGTGTAGGTCGATAATATAGTCTGGGTTATGTTCGTTGACTAACTCCTCTAAATGTTTTAGCCCAATTAGGATCATAGTGACTGACACCTTTGTCTGGGTAGAAATAGTTCTGTGAGCGCCGCTTGGTTGCCTTTTTCTACCGCTGCCATAATTGATATGTGACAACGCTTTCTCTGTTGTGGTTCTCAAGTAATTTTCAAGTTCTTCCAGAAGCTTGATTGCTTAGGACAGAGCATATTTGGGGACTGTTTGATGTTTCATATGAACAGAAAAGGCTTTATACAGGAGTCCAAGATGACTTAAAAATTGAACAATGCTGGTAATGGAAGTAATTAGCTTGATCGAGCCAGTTTGAGCGTCTGTAATAAAGATCTTTTTATCGAGTTCAACACATACGCCCATAGGCTGCGCAAACGACGCTTTGTCTGCCTTCCCATTTAAATTTCCTTCCTTTCCTGTTCCAGCAATGACTACGCTCTCCTCGCCAGGGATCTTCAACTTGATTTGCAAGGTTCCGGTGTCTGCATAAACTATACCATCGAGGTACGACGCCGCGTGTGCACTTTCACTACAGTCAACAGTTCCGTTTCGTACAATAGTAGTCTCCTCGAGTGTTGACATTGCAATAGCTGTAATTCCGCCTGGGTTTCCCTTGTGAGACAGATAAAGAATATTGAGATTAAGACACATGAACACTACTTCAGTACAAGAGGATTGGGAATTTAGCAAAAATAGTAACATCGCCTTTAACTCCAACTCCATCCATCTGTAATGTGATTGAATAGATTAACTTGTCCGCATCACTTGCACAAAATAGTATACTATCACTCGCCTTGGCAACACAGGAAGGCTCGAACTGTCTAAACATTCCAAACAAAATATAGATAATTCCGAAGATAAGCCTAATGCGTGTCGGGCAAGTTAGTTATTAGTTTATTATTCAATTATTAGTTTATTATTCAGTTTATTATTATTATTCAAATTGTATTTAAATGTCACAGATAAGAAAAAAAAAATCGTGACTGGATTAGACTTCACCAATTCTATATCGGCTGTCAAAAAAAATTGGGACTGGATTAGACTTCACCAATTCTATATCGGCTGTCATCTTCAAACTAACGTTTACCTGTTGTTTCTCGTCAAATTGAGTCGAGGGTTTTAAAGCCGTCCCATCGTTCTCCATTGCTGCTGCAATGACTTTAACAATCGGTGTATCAACTAGTGGTTTCACACACACCGAGGGTCTATAGCTAGTTTTAAAAATGAATTGATCCAGGGCTTAATTATGCTACTTGAAGTAGTATATCCGGATGAATGCTTTAATCTTGTTGTTCGACCAGGTCCTCCGAGGTTTGGTTTAGCACCCTCTGGATTAAAAACTCCACCACTGCCACATCCACTCCACATAGGTCCTCGGATAAAGTTCACAGTTTTCTCTCCACCAAGAAATTTAATAGTGTTGAAAAATTCGACAACCTGTTCATCATATTCATGACTTGGGTCAATCATAGCAGATGAAATAGAATCAAGATACTTGTAAATATTTTATCCTTTGGAATTTGGCCGCTTTTAATTAAACTATTTAGTCTTATGCAAACATCATCTGCTTTCTCCAGCGTTATGGGGAATATGAAATATTCCTTGTCAATTTCATTGCCCGTTTCTCCATTAGAATCATTGCACATACTTGAGTCAAGGTTCACATTGAATTCAGAATCTTCAGAATCTGAAGCTGTCAAGAGGTCAGTGTCTGTATCGATGTCAGAGCTCCAATTTTTCAATTCGGTATCTTGTTCACAATCACTAATATTGTCAATATTATGATCACACAACCTGTAGAGTCAATTCAAATTCATACGATTACACTCATTCAGTTTTTCAGACTATCAGGATGTGAAATGTAGGATTATTCCAAATACATGTAGCAAGACTGGCAATCAACTGTCTCTAGCCTCATTATGTATGTTCATATTTCTATTTCAGTAAAAAAACGGTTGCAAAAACCCTATTTATTCACAACGTTTTCGAGTATTAAAAAGACAAAAACACTTATACACTAAGAATATCAGAAACATCGATAGCCTCAAAAGACTCAGAAACATATATGACATGCCTGACATTACAGTATTCGTAACAAACAGAAAACGAATAGTATCGTCTAGCAGTGCAATACTTTCTGTGATTCTAAGATTCCATTAGACCTTTTAACTCATTCCCATCCGGTCAAAAATTAGCAATTTCGAGTGGTGTTGTTTTAAACGCATATATCTTTCAAAGTATACATCGTACGAGAACAGAAATTGCATAGTTCGAAAGAGGAGGACTTCCACTTTCCAATTTAATTTCATCCGTAGTTTGGTTAACGATTTACTTGCATAAATTTGCATAAATTATGATATAAAAAAATGTTGCAATTATGCATAAATGTCTCGACCGGTTCTAATTTCAAATATGTCAAAAAATTTTATGAACATAACTGAAAGACACGGTTGTGATCTACAAGTACCTGAAGTTTCATGCATGTAGCATAAATGGAAGTATTTTTATTGAATTTTATAGTTGAGTAAAATATGTAGTTGAGTAAAATTTACATTTTGTGCTCACATGAAACAAATACCCTTATCAAAGGTCCTTTTTATTGCTGCAACATACTATCAATACAAATTTCTAATATTTCTTTCACTCCAAGGATAGTATGGCACCAAAATAAGTCTGTGATACCCACAAAAGAACACTCAAATCACTATTTGCAAAATGTCTATTTCTACAGTTACTATATACATTCTTAGATATCAGTACACCATTGACTTATAGTTATCAATGGCATAACCAGCCTAAAAATTTGGTCATGCTATTCAAATTTTAAATAATCATTACTCATTTCTTTAGAAATTGATTGTTTTCACAATCTAGAACATGACAATATTTGCATATAGCATGACCAAGTGTTGTTGGGCTGGCATCATCATTAGCAGTTATAAAAAAGTAATGTTTTCCAAGGCAGTAATGTTTGCGAAGACACATAATTGGATTATGTGGTGAAAATATTTCCTTTTTTGCACAAAATATATATTGGACAGCAAAAAACCTAAGATTGTAGCCAAACTTATATCACATCACCATGTCATACCCAAATCCATCCTACGATGAATCTCTGGACTTGTTCCTGTATAAATCACAAAGTCGCAATATAAGGTGTAAAAAAATACCTGTGGTTGCGGTTTCATATCGTGACAAAATTAGGGTCGGTAGGTCGGAAATTAATTTTTTTTTTGAATATTTTTTCATGGTTTTGGCGTTTTTTTGCTGGGTGATTTGCAGTAGAGTCCCGACATCAATGTTAACTAGAGATGCGTATTTCCTATGGACGAATTTAGGCAATTTGGTTCAATAATTAGTGTGACAACAGACGCCATTTTGGCACGCTGTATGAGCAGCCCGCAACCACCTGGAGAAAATAGGGTCGCACGGTCAATCACGTTGAAAAAATAATACGTAGATATGATGTAGTTTATTGCTGTAGTCTTCAGTAACAGGATCTACCATATTCAGAAACTTTGCTTTACAGCACTTTGTACCTAAACCATGCAAGAAATTATTTCTATTGCCCACAGACCATGATATAAGGTTTTTACATTCCAATAATTTTCAATCTCACTGTCCACCTTTACCAAACCTGCATATACTAAAAAGGCAATCAACCTGTCAATCTCCTCAAGGTTGGTGGAGTCCAAGACCCTTCTTTATTAGTATATGGGGATAATTTATGGGTTATTTGTATGTGAGCATATGTATTGGTATGGCCAGGAAACTACCTCCTGAAGCATTCCCTTAGTAAAAAAGAGCCGAATGAACTCAAGCTCACAGTTCATACTTCTGGTGAAAGCTTGATCGAAATGGATCCCGGACTTGTTGGTGAGGGGCAAAATCTGGGTAATAGGATAATACTCCTAGTGTCAGGATCACCATATCGGTCATGTACTATGGGGCCTAGTGGGGGTGCTAGACAGGGAGCTTTCAAAACCTTGGGTCCTAGTGGCTGGGCTTACCTCTACTCATCCCCTACCTTCCCTCTACACTTACACGTTTTCCTAATGGGGTTGGGGAGTGGGGTTCTCATGACTCTCAGAACTGCTACTTCCCTGAGGCTATGAAACAGGAACAGCAGCTAGGAACAGGGTCAATATCTTCGTCACTGCAAATAAAAACGTTTTATAGACATAATCTATATGGTGCCACTTGAAATTATAATAAGAGCCAAACTAGTAAGATATAAGTATGAATACTTGGTCTATTATGTATGTAACAAACAACCAAACATGTGCTCAAGGCTCATTTTACTTTGCCTAGGAATCAGAGTTTTTTTATGCCTAAAACACCATAACTTTTCGACAACAATATAAATAAATACCATTTATATTTGTCAATGTCTGTATGGAAGGATTATTTCAGCACAAAAATGCGATATGAGGACATACTTGGTCGTTCTAGTGAAGCTATACTAAAAGCAAATCAATTTACAACGCCATGGCAACGGCAAAGCATTGAAATGGCATGTCTAAAAATTATCAAAATACTTGCCTTGAAACACCAGACACGACTCCCAATGCCAGGTTGAGATACTTGTCTTTGTACGAAGACATTCCGTCATTACTAGCACTATCAGATTGCAAAATAAGGCCAAGTGACGTCTTGAGGATGCGATTCAAACAATAAAATTACAACACAATACATTACATTACAACGCTCATGCACGATAATCAGGAAAATTGCTCTAAGGTAAAAAATTGCTCTAGGGTAAACAAATACTCCGGAAGTGATTTCTGCAGTCTTTTACCAGGAAACTGTAATGCTTTACCAAGAATTTGGCGTCTGAAGTTGGCCGAACACTTTCCGACCACGAGAATCGCCAGAATAGGCATAGATTTATTTTGCAATTTCCCAAGACTGCTCGATCCGAGCTGTAGAATGAAAGATGGCGATTCTTTCGGTCTATTTGTCTTTATTATACGATGAAAATAAGCAAAGATACAGGCATTTGAATCAGGCAGGACATTCAAAATGCAGCAGCAAAATTGGTAATGCGGATTGAATTGAGTTAAGGTATTCTGGAGGCCTTTGGGCAGTTTGCTATATATTATATACCAATTCGGGCTATTTTTGCTGTATGACTATACAGCAAAGGAAGGCCTTTTGCTGCCTTTGCTGTATTTGTGTAGTCTGTAACATTTTACAAATAAATTAAATAGACTATATAAATGCAAAAATGACTGAGATAATTTGAGATGATTCTGTTTCTTACTCCATGTCGGTCATCGAGCCACTGGCATCACCGTCCATGTCTGCATCATTGTCACTGTCATAATCAACATTTATAGCTCCTGTGGTGTCTGTGGTGTTAGTCGCAGGATCAGATACAAATTGTTGCATGAAATTTTTCATTTGGTAAACTCAACAATAGATTTCTGTCGCTTGTCTTCCTTGACACAAGCTGTATCATAGTGCTCTAAAACAAGGAAGAATAGAATAAGAAAACAATTACCATGAAAGACCATGAAATTTACAACAACTAAGGCATTGAAAGGGAAAAGTGGAAAAGGTCAGAAGACTCAGAATAAATTCATGCTTTGGTCAGGCAAGCATGAAACAAAAAAAAGAATCACAAACTTTTCGTGAAGTATTCTGCCTTTGCTTTGGGGGCTCGATCGGTTGGCACAGTCTTTTGCTTCTTACAATGCCCACACAAAATGGTATACTCATTCACTGCCTTGCTGCTATTGAGCTCTTCCAACACTGTCACGAAATAAAAAGATAAAAATGTTATAACCTGTTCCTTCAACGTCCTCAATAGTCGTCCCTCATTACCCTCAAACAAAAATGGAAAATGTTCACTCCCACCTTTGTTCATATCTTCTAGTTGTTTTATCTGTCTTTCATTTCGCTCGACATTTTCACCTGCTTTAATCTTTTTAACCAATTCTGCATCATCTAGTTTCGCTGCTGATCTTTTCCTTCCATGTTTTCTGATCTTGGGTACTCAATTCTCCATTGTCTCAGGTAAGGCAGATTTTAATAACTGGTGATGCTTTTTCAAATGTAATTTCTTTTCTTAACACATTTACTGAAAAGAATACAAATAATACATTTTCTAAGGTTTTATTTTAACTGATAAATATTTAACTTATAATTGGTTTACATTTAACCCATTAAGCTGCAGAGCTTCCCCATTGATAAGTGAAATTGTCTGGCGTTAGACAAGCAAAAAAAAAATAAGTAGCGTGCACTGGGCGGGTTAAACATGTTATCACGACTATCAAGTTTTTTTTAAAAATTAAAAAATGACAAAAACAGTTACAGTCATAACAGAAAAATGCACACATTTTAATTATACCCGATAAGTAATTTAAAATATAATATGGAATTGTTTAATGGGTTTGGACATCTTAACCTATTAAGTGGCAAGAATCTCTCCTGACTCCTTGACGAGTAAAACAGCATATATGTCATATACGTATTAAAGCTATTAAAGAAATTAACCCCTTAAGCGCCAGTGCTCTCCCCTTGACGAGTAAATCATCTGGCGTTAGACAAAGTAAAATACTAAAGTAGGGTGCAATGGGACTCAATGGGTTAACTAGACACTTTGTGGAAAACACCACGTATATTTATTGATACAAAGAACTTATATTTGATTTGTATCTGATTTAATTACTACCCATGGAAAGTTTTCAAAATGATGGAAATACATAAAATCATGAGACAGAAAGATGATCAAGCATTCATTGAACTTCAGAATATGACCGAAGTTATCCAACTGATGCATCCATATCTCAGCTAAGAATGCTCCAGTAGACGATTATAATAAAAAGAAGTTAAATTAACTTTCTGGAACTTTATTCTAAAAGCTAAATAAACAGCAAATTGATTAGGGTGAACACAGTCAGAAACGGGTGGACTTGATTTTTATAATCATCATTCTGATTAGAGTGGATCGATATACCGGATATATCCGGTATACCCGTATTTGTTTAGATACTGGTATTGGCGATATATATCCAGTATACCCGTATTTGTTTAGATACTGGTATTGGCGATATTGACAATTCAAAAATACCTATATACCAACATTTCGGTATTTTGCTGCATAATACTGGATTGAAACGCTACTTCGAGTTGAACTTACTTACAATCGTGTTTAGAAACCAAAGTTACTACTCACAGATGGACGATTTTGTTCTTATACAGTACTAGCAGCTTTGGTTTTAGCAATACCAAGATGTCTTCTTTATTAAATCACCTTAATCGGAAATATATAAATGGCGAAAATTTTTAAGGAATGGCAAAATTTTTAACGCTTAGCGCCATTAACATAGTTTGATAATGCGAATCTTGTGAAATATGCACTAATAACAATATGTGTCACATTAATATTTTGTCAAAACTTGATTTTTCTCGACGTTCAGCAGTTCAGTTTGACTTTAAAAAAAATGTTAAAAATACCGGTATTCTGATGGCAGTATATCGGTATTCGGTATTTGCAATATCGATCCACTCTAATTCTGATTAAACAAATATCAGTATCCTAGACAGATAAATCAATTGCCAAATGGGTACCGTCTTTAAAGTCATTAATCAAACAAACAATACACCAACCATCATCTATACACAAATTTTGATGACGTTGTCACCATTGAACCTGTTTTAACAAGAATAATAAGACCAAGAAAAGCATCTTCACCTGAAATTCAAAGAATGCAATTTCCAATTACATTTGCTTTGGGCATGTACTCTACATAAATTTTGAGGTCTAACACATGACAAAATAGTTTTATGCACAGACCTGATAAAACAAAGAACATTTAACTATGGACAAGTTTGTGTTGCTTTATTGAGTCATGCAACTTCCTTACAGGGTCTTTCTATCTTAGGGAAAATTTAAAGTAAGCATGTTAAAGCAAATCCAAAAGTTCTCCAAGAATATGAAAAGGAATGAATGTATGGTTCCAGATTCAATAACTACTTTCAAAAATGATGCTACCCTTTTAAGAATATTAACTTTAAATATAAGATCACTACAATAGTGATAATAATGTGATTATAATAGGTTCTACTGAAACACAGTTACAGCCTTCTGATTGTGACAATGAAATAGTTAATAAGCTTCATCCTTTCATACTTCACCCTCAAAGACTATCCTACTGATAAATAATCTAGTATGGCATTCTTCACATGAAATACTGTAGAAGTTAGAGAATTAGAATGTATCACTTCCATGGATGACTTGATGCTTGCCTTCTTTCATCAACAATGTCGAGATCTACAAACCATTTTGTTGGTTTACCGAAAACAGAACTCCAATATCACACATTACCTAGAGTGTTTGGAATATGTCCTTAATAGTAATTGTGTCGACATAGTTTTTGGCGACTTTAAATCAATTACCTCAACAACAACCAGGTCCAACCACTGAAGTCTTTAATGGATTCTTTGGATTTCTGTCAACTTCTAAAAAAACCTGCGTTCATTTCTTCGGGAAGCTTATTGGACCATCTGTACATAAAACCAAGATCATTTCAAGTAATTGAGAATCATGTCAACATGTATTATTCAGATCATCATGCCAGTAAAGTCACACTGCCATTTATCAACCTGTTTTATTCAAAATCGATTCAATCGATCAAACTCTTTCCTATAAAATTATTTAAAATCATGCTTTTCAATATTCTTTTCGAATATTGAATTTTTTAGCATTGAAATGAATATTTGAAAGTTTTGAATGAAATACGGATCCAACATATCCCTGCAAGATCAAGTACTTACCCGGGTTTACATGCAGGAGCGCTGACCTGCCAACACAGCGTCTGCTTAATGTAGTGACGCAAGAGCGTCAACTGACTCAACTCATCACATGTGCTGAGAAACAGCCATCCTTTTTGCCCTGGGATCAAGAAAGTTCAAATGCCTTGACTTCAAATGAGAAAGAGCTATATCAAGTAGAATATTATTTTTTCTCATTTTCTCTTTCATACAGTGTTTGTTGTAGTAAACACATTTAGAATGCTTTGTGCTATTGAATATATAACTGAGTACTCTCAACTGACAGAGGCACTACAATTCATTGCCAAATCTCTTTATACGAGTGCTTTTTATGCCTGTTCGCCAAAAATCCTTTCGAATCTTTGCCATCCTCCCTTCCCAAGCTTTCAAACTTGCCTTACCTTTTTGTTAAGTTATTTTCATGCATAAATGTATATTTAATATCTTGCTTTCAGAAACCAGATGATATTCTGACATGCAGTGGCAGAAAGTGAATACTGGTATAATACATTCTAAGTTCTAAGCCTTCAATCGAAACAAGGAACAGATGACTTCTGATAGTGAATATTTCTTTAGCAAATATTTTGTTGTCCTTGTTGGTCTTTTGGTTATTTTGGCGGCACTTTGACATCATTTTCAAGCACCAAAAACAACTACAAACTATACATGTCACTACCTAAGTTGATCTATCCACCTACTTCAAAACTCTAAACTTGGAAGTGGACCAATCGATCCGACACAACATCTTGAAACAGGCTTGCAAAATATTTACCACTATTTCATTGGATGTCCATGGTAAATTGTCCCTAGCTAAATGCTACCTACTTTGTTTGAGTTTAGCCTCCAAGTAATTACGTTTTATTTGTTAATTTACAGCAAATACAGTTGTAACCTATCTCGACAACATATCCCCAACAAAGAAAAATCAAAATAACAACTATTTTGACATGACCCTCCAAACAAAAAATGAAATCCTGCATGGCGTTTACTTTGCTCCAGAAAATAAATAAATGCAGACAATGTCTGAATCGTCTTCACCAGTTAAGATCACAAACTGTCACATACGCGAAGAAATGAACTACAAATCAACAAGTGCACCAAGATCTCAGAACCGTCACCTGAAGGAAATCACCTTTGACATTATGTAAATTAGGGAAGAATAAAGGGACAATTCCATTTTGTCATAGAATTGTAGTTGAGTGTTAGGTAAACATGTTTTCTGATGTTGGCAACAATGTGCTTTTCCACAGTCTTATAAGTGTTATAAAAGAAAGTATTATACCATGTTTTTGCTGACCGACCAATCACATTGCCAAGATTTTGTTTGCTTTGCCTTGTGCAAAGAAATTCACCTGGTGGAAAATGGGCTTAAAACTTCCCATGTTTTACTCTAGTCTAGGACCTGTATATCAGTTTGTATGCATTTCATTTAGCACAGGTAATCTCAACTGTTTTAGGGTAAAATGACCATGGCGGTCAACATGGCATATGTGCCAAAACCTGAATCTGGGGCGAAAGTCCTGAAAATGACCCCGCCCTGAAACGGCAGTGCCGACGTAGCTCCAACTTCCGAAAAGCGGTAGCCTTTCTGAAGTGCTTATGGTTTTAGAAGG